TTACTCGTTAGGATAGTTGCCAACTTGAACTTCAGCATAGTCTCACTACACTGCTGAAGGCGAACAATCGAAAACTGGAGAAGGATATCATTACGCAACAGTGTGTGCGGAGATGACAATAGCTCATATATATCAAACATAACATGAGATCAAGAAATAACCAGGAAAATACACATCAACTGGGAAAATTCAAGACAGAGTCTCACTGCTTTCAAAATTACACTTGTTCTGAGAAACGGGTTGAGTAGCGTGTACCCACTAAGGAAAGAGAATTGGAATGTGAATCAGAGAGAATAATGTAAATAGAAAAATATGAAGATGAAGCTCATCAACTTAGAAGATACATTCAGGAAAATTAAAATTGTAATAAGAGACGATGACATGAGAACCAAGAAGGAATCAGTAGGTGTCTCATAGTTGAGAGAAAAAGTCTGGAAATTGAAAGAAAGCAGAACAATCAATAGACAGAGGTAACGCGATCAAACATCAACGAACTACAAACAAGGGTTGAGCATGATGCTTCCGCAGGAGAGAAAGACCGTTTTCACGTGAAAACTGTTTATTGTTCTGTTAATAATTGGTCTACTGGTTAGTTTTCACAGAAGTTATAAAGCATCAATTTTCTGAAAAACTTCATCTCTACTCCGAAGGGGATAAAATCTGAGTGTGATCAAGGGAATACGTATAGTTTGTGTTCCAATCAGCATAGTTCAGGAAAGCTACATTCTATTCTTGAAAGAAAGAAGGAAAAAAAGAGAAATCTTGAGACATAGGAAAATTCCAAAAAAATAAAATTTAGGATTAGAATAGTGAGACCCCGAGACGAATTCAGGAGGATAAAACAAAGATCACTTCGGAAAATAGCAGACTGAGTATTATTGCTTTCTGAATGAATTTTATTTTCGAGAAACGAATGAAAGGCGTGTATCATCTGTGGAGAGATCGTCGGAGACTCACTGAGAAAGGCATGCACATAAACAGAAGACAATTGAAGATGAAGTTCCACTCATTCATTTAAACTGGCTACTTGGATATTCAGAATTATGCAGGCCGCGACACATTGAAGACAGTACATTCACGGAAGAATAGTTATTCATAACTCTTCAATGTATCTGTATATTCAAAACTTCTGTTAGCTCCCTACATTTTGGAAGAGTCTGCAGAATCGTTGGAATGATCTAAGAAACTTATTGCATTGTTATATGTACCCATGGTGTTGATTATGTTCATAAGCAAACGCATTCTCTCTGAACGATCTGTATGGTATGGAATATGGAAAACTGAGTTTCAGTACAGATAATGTTCCATGTAAATATGATTCATGAACATATCAACATAAAACGAAGAGAGTTGATAGCTATTTCGATGCTGAGTTATGAGTTGTTATGCTTCTCAAGTTATCTGATCAACAATTAAGAAAGAGCAAATGACAACATTGTATTACATATAATCATTATTTATATGCATTAGAAAGAACAATGAACAATCATATATCTGAATCAACAAGCTTTTATGATAACCGAGGCTGTGTAAACAAAAAGAAACATCGAAAACTTTTTCAAAAAAATAAACTATGTGATGATTCCTGAACGATGATCTTCAGCTATAGGAATCATTTTCTCTGCCGGAAATAATATATTGTTTATCGCTCATGTATGTGATCACGTATCAAGAATGACTTTGGATATGATAGATTCAAGATGTTTGAATGATAATCTTCTCATCAGAAGAAGCTTTGAATGAAAAAGATTTGATAACACATATGATTCATACATAGCTCTAACCAGAACTATCTCTCCAAGAAACGTTTCGCTTCAGGCCATTTGATACAGAAAAGAGATAACATATCTAAAGCGTAGATCCACATTAAAATACATAAAAGTTGGAGTGAAGATGTGTTAATGAGTTGTGAAAATCTATCCAGCGTTGTGTGTTCAGATGATTTACATGGAAATGTTGGCAAAAATCGTTCTATATTATCCACAGTATATGTCCAATCACAGTTCTAAGCTCTTCAATTACCATTTGATTGTTCGATGTTCGTGATAAGAACCTTTCTCCTTTTCGCTTTTCTATATACAAATCTATAATCTTATACACTTATTTCACAGATTACTCCTTGGGCCCACAATGAAGATAAAGTTGGAATCTGTTGAGATTCTGCTCTTCTTCATACTCTTGGTTTGCTGCCAAGTTCAATGTCGCCAAGTACTTAATTCACGCAATTTTTTTATCTCGAATGCTGAAACAGTAAGAATTAGTAACACAATTAACGTATCACCTAAATTTAGCGACAACAAGCAACGTTACGTCACTTAACTAGTCTGTACAACGATCATCATGGTACTAATAGGAGCGAACTAACAATACATCCTCACACTCTGGATAGATGGAATGGTGTTACTAATCAGACCCATGAACACCGAATCCGGAAGGTAAGATATCCATAAACAAATTCTTTAATCACACCATTTAAGAGAGCGGGTAAAGAATAATTATTTTGCTTCGACAAATACATAACCAAGTTACAGCAACTTGCGACCCGGAAAATGATTGCGGGAAAGCGAGAAAAGGCGACAACGTTTGGAACGGATACCCATCAGAAAACTTTTTTTTCACATATTTTAACACTTCAGAATGCCAAATGCTCACTATCACCTGCGTTGGCGCAGAAACAGTGATTCTCATGACTGATGGAACTGGAGCAGGAATGGAACAAATGATAGTTAGTCAACGAAGATTATTACTATGAAAACAACCTTTTTCAGTTGGATGCATATTTAGGTGATCCAGGACAGGTGATAGTGTTAGAGTTAACACTACCTTGTTATCCATACGGTTGGGGAGCGTCTGAACCAGACCTTAGACCAAAAGATAATAAATTCACCTGCGATGGTGAGTAATTGCTACGTTATGAGCATAAAGCTTTTATGACAGTAATGGAACAAGTACCCACAACAACTTCCACCACTTCTACGACGACAACACCCACCACAACAACTACAACTACCTCCACAACATCGTCGACAACCTCATCGACAACTACATCGACCACACCATCTACCACAAGCTCGACCACATCGACCACACCATCCACAACATCGTCGACTACATCGACCACCCCATCCACAACATCGTCGACTACATCGACCACCCCATCCACAACATCGTCGACTACATCGACCACCCCATCCACAACATCGTCGACTACATCGACCACCCCATCCACAACATCGTCGACTACATCGACCACCCCATCCACAACATCGTCGACTACATCGACCACCCCATCCACAACATCGTCGACTACATCGACCACCCCATCCACAACATCGTCGACTACATCGACCACCCCATCCACAACATCGTCGACTACATCGACCACCCCATCCACAACATCGTCGACTACATCGACCACCCCATCCACAACATCGTCGACTACATCGACCACCCCATCCACAACATCGTCGACTACATCGACCACCCCATCCACAACATCGTCGACTACATCGACCACCCCATCCACAACATCGTCGACTACATCGACCACCCCATCCACAACATCGTCGACTACATCGACCACCCCATCCACAACATCGTCGACTACATCGACCACCCCATCCACAACATCGTCGACTACATCGACCACCCCATCCACAACATCGTCGACTACATCGACCACCCCATCCACAACATCGTCGACTACATCGACCACCCCATCCACAACATCGTCGACTACATCGACCACCCCATCCACAACATCGTCGACTACATCGACCACCCCATCCACAACATCGTCGACTACATCGACCACCCCATCCACAACATCGTCGACTACATCGACCACCCCATCCACAACATCGTCGACTACATCGACCACCCCATCCACAACATCGTCGACTACATCGACCACCCCATCCACAACATCGTCGACTACATCGACCACCCCATCCACAACATCGTCGACTACATCGACCACCCCATCCACAACATCGTCGACTACATCGACCACCCCATCCACAACATCGTCGACTACATCGACCACCCCATCCACAACATCGTCGACTACATCGACCACCCCATCCACAACATCGTCGACTACATCGACCACCCCATCCACAACATCGTCGACTACATCGACCACCCCATCCACAACATCGTCGACTACATCGACCACCCCATCCACAACATCGTCGACTACATCGACCACCCCATCCACAACATCGTCGACTACATCGACCACCCCATCCACAACATCGTCGACTACATCGACCACCCCATCCACAACATCGTCGACTACATCGACCACCCCATCCACAACATCGTCGACTACATCGACCACCCCATCCACAACATCGTCGACTACATCGACCACCCCATCCACAACATCGTCGACTACATCGACCACCCCATCCACAACATCGTCGACTACATCGACCACCCCATCCACAACATCGTCGACTACATCGACCACCCCATCCACAACATCGTCGACTACATCGACCACCCCATCCACAACATCGTCGACTACATCGACCACCCCATCCACAACATCGTCGACTACATCGACCACCCCATCCACAACATCGTCGACTACATCGACCACCCCATCCACAACATCGTCGACTACATCGACCACCCCATCCACAACATCGTCGACTACATCGACCACCCCATCCACAACATCGTCGACTACATCGACCACCCCATCCACAACATCGTCGACTACATCGACCACCCCATCCACAACATCGTCGACTACATCGACCACCCCATCCACAACATCGTCGACTACATCGACCACCCCATCCACAACATCGTCGACTACATCGACCACCCCATCCACAACATCGTCGACTACATCGACCACCCCATCCACAACATCGTCGACTACATCGACCACACCATCCACAACATCGTCGACTACATCGACCACACCATCCACAACATCGTCGACAACCTCATCGACAACCACATCGACCACACCTTCTACAACAAGCTCGACTACATCGACCACACCATCCACAACATCGTCGACAACGTCATCGACAACGACATCGACCACACCATCCACCACAAGCTCGACCACATCGACCACACCATCAACCACAAGCTCGACCACATCGACCACACCATCCACAACATCGTCGACAACGTCATCGACAACTACATCGACCACACCATCTACTACAAGCTCGACCACATCGACCACACCATCCACAACATCGTCGACTACATCGACCACACCATCCACAACATCG